TTAGCTTTGCTGCTGCTATTAACACTAGTGGCACATTAGCGCAGACAAAGGGCTGCATAAGCCAAACTACGTCTTGCTTGGTGGTTAAAGGCGTTTGACGTTCATTGGCGTGGGAAATGGCGGTTCTACTGCTAAACCACTACCGAAAAGACTACAAACGCTGCGCTGGTTAAAATAGAAGCGTCCCATCAGGTTTTAAATAATAACTTAATGTTATGGCTGTCAGTCCGGGTCCGTATGGGACAGCTTCCGGGTTCGGACCTGGACCGCCTGTTAGTGACCTCTGCTGTAATGGCTTCCTGTTTAACTACATGGCGCCCCCTGCAGGTGGAGCTGCTTCCTCACTGTGGCGACACCCCACCAATAGGCCAGGTGGTGCGGGAGGATGGTGAACTGCTGCTGAAGGCTGTGCTCAAGGTAGGCGTGTGTGACGGTGGGGGCAGACACATGAGAGAGTGTGTTCTACTCCCAAACACTCTCCCCCCATCCAGGGCATTGGAGGGCGGTCTCCACATGGCCTGATGGAGCAGTTCGGAGAGGTGCTATTCTCCCTGAACAAGCACTGCACCGCCCTGCTGGAAGTGTGGCTGAAAGTGAACTTGCAGCTGCCAGACTTCCCATCACCTCGTGTCTCAGCTGAACAGAAGAAGAGCTTCGCGGAGCAGATACTCAGGTACCTCCCAGCATAGCCACTTGTGGGCGCTGTGACTCCCATCGCACCCCAATGAAGGATTAGCTGTTCCTTCCATGTAATTGGATATAATACACAGGCACTCTTATCAATCTTGAGAGGGGATTTCCAACCCTGGGTCTGTGAGCCCTTATAGAAATGTTTCATAAATTGAGTGAGTGCTGGAATTATCAGAGAAAGAAATACTAAACCCCCTGGCCATTATTTTCGCATGTGGCCCAATGGCAGTTCTACTTACACAAAAATGTTCTCAGGCCAGAATGAAAAATGATTGGTTCAGACAGATAACTAATCAGATCTTGGTCGGATGTTAGACCAACCACTCAGATGTCTTAGTCCCGCCTCATCTACAATCTGATTCGCTATCTGTCTGAACCAGTCATTTTTCATTCTGTCCTCTGAACATTTTTGTATAAGTAAAACTCCCACGAGCTTGTATGTAATCATGCATTAGTGGTAGGAGGTTCAAGGGTACAACAGTAAGTGCCACCTTTGAATTTCTATGTTTGATCTTAGGTTCTCTGTGTTGTATCCCATGTATAACTATAGATAATTGTCAGCAGTATGGGAATAATAATGTAACCCCCCCCCCCATCCCCCACCAGGGTGCAATCAAACAAATGGCAGCTGAAGGAGACAGTGAAGGAATTTGGCCTTCTCTGTCGAGGTCTGCACGGCACCGAATACGCCGCTGAATACTGACTCCAGAGCTTTTCTGCACATTTTGTACGAAAATCTTAGGCAGTCTAAGAAAATGATGCATAAATGATCTTCTAGTTAGTGTAAAACTGTGACATTTTCTCTGTCAAAGTGTGTCAGCCATATCCAAAAACCTACGCATCTATTTTTTGACTGGACCACTAGCACACCTCATATCTCATTGACTTTTTTTAACAAATTAAGTTAATTAATTGAGTGAGCTGGTGGTGAAATTTAACAAATACATGGAATGGCTGGGGTGCCCCTGAGGAGAGGTTTGTGAACTGAAGCGGTGATCATCTAGCCATCCAGCAAGGTGCCGGTGACTTTCTGGAGGACAGAAGAAATTCCTGTCAGTTTTTATTGTGTTACTCATATGTTCTAATGTTAAATTGTGTTTTTGTTCTCAGCACATGTACACTTACTATCCAGATAAGTAGCTTTAAACATTTCCTTTGACTGCCTAAGACTTTTGCACCGAGAGGGTCCCGCCAAAGTCCTCATCCGCCGACCTGAGAGGCTGAAAGTTTCAGCCGCCCACAAGGTTTATTTGGTAACTTCTGTAATCTGCCAACTTGGACCTCCTGCCTCGGCCCTCAATCCCAGCAGTGTGATCTTTCTTTCCAGCATCGATCCTGGGTGGTCAGGATACCTGAGTGAAAGGGCACTCCCCCCCCTCACCGCTATTTGATCACTTACTGTTCTGAGGTCCATGCGTGTTTAATATCAAAATCTGCAAAATCTGTGTTAAATCTGCAATATCATATATTTTTTGCGTTTTCAAGAATGTTCATATTTTTGTATTGGATTTTAATTATCTGATAGACTCTTTTCGATATTTAATCCTGTGCTCTATACTTTTGTATTGAGAAGCCTGAAGTGCCAGACAGGAACATTCTGGATGAATGCTATCTATACAGTCCATGCAGATAATACTTTGATGAGAAATTAGTATTTCTAAACAGCAGTTTCTCTTTCAAAGTTGTGTTAATGAGTCCAATCTTTCAGTAGGAGCCACCTTTCCCTAAATCAACTGTTAAAAGTTCAGTGACCCTCCCAAATCAGACTAAATCTAAAGGGTGCATCTGAAATCACATACTTGTTTGCTACGTAGTAGGCGAAATATAGCATTCAACATGAGCAGTATTTCTGTATCCTCACAAGGAACAAGATGGTAGGCTAGGTATATGGATGACGTACTACATTCTGTCCAAATCTGACGTATGCAACCAATGGATGCTACCCCATCCCACAAGGCCACAGGATTGGCACCCAGAGATGAAAAATGCCACTCAGAAATTTTTGGCAAGATGATGGAGGAAGTGATGTCGCTACACAAATTTAGGTAGAAGCCAATATCCAGTTACATATGTATTTTTTGCATTGATCGTTTTTTTTTTTTCTTTTATGGGGGTCAAGCTACATCATTGGTAACCATCCGGGTCAGGCAATATGCAAGATGACCCCCACCGTGTGTGAGAGTGCATGCATATTATTCTCATACATACAGCACATTATGTAGTGTTGAATAGTAGGCTTCTGATGACATTCAGTACCTATGGAAGTATGCAGTTTTGGACTCACCCTAACTTGTGACATGTTTGTCTTGTTAGAGACATGCCTGTTACCTAAATAGTATCATTAAATAATATTCATTTAGGTTTGTCCTGCTTTTGGGTTTAGTACTAAAAACTTCAACCTGTAGCAAAAAATTCTTAAATATGTATTTGTTGTATGAGCAGTAGTTTGGGCCAGAGATCTTTTATAAAACTGCACACACCAGTCCCTATGAAGCACCTTCAGCAAACATACCCCTTTGCCCTGGGCAGCTGAGGACCTGTCACATGCGTGTGCATTTAAGATAATGCTGATAAATTGTGGTTCTTTTTGACAGCTAAGATATTGTGTTGCTGTTAATCACTTTTTGTACATCACATAATACCTAAAAAGGTTATCTGGGCTGGAAGTGTACACTTCTTGTCATGGGAGAGCAGAAGTCACATTTTCAGGAAGTACAAAGACCTTCTTAGTCTGTGTGCTGCCTTACTGCTGTATAAAAAGTTTTTATAGAAATAAGCCCTGCCTGGGGGGTGAATTCTGACCGGAGAAATAAGCTAAACACAGCTCTCACACACACATCTGAAACATATAAAACACCAGAGATGGATATCAGATCTCCCCAGATTAATGTTCTTTTAAGTGTCATACAATTATTCACAACATAAAAATAAAAACAGCTTAACATGAACAAAGAGTCCTTGCTGCCAGGGGTTTAATGATGAGACACTCTATAGTTTAGAGTGGGGGAAAAAGGTTGGCTGCTTGTCATTGGTAGAAAAGACATCTGTAAAAGTTAGCGAGAGAAGAGTCTTCCGTCAGTCCACTGTCCCTTGAATACCAATGAGTTGTAGTTTAAGGGCAGTCCTGTCAAAACGCTTCCCTTGTTTCAGTTCTCTGCAATCTGTGGCCTGCTCAGATTCCCAGTCGCCTTCAGAGCTACCGTATCCTTGTGAAGAGGTTCAACACGGACTTGGATTCCTAGAGGATAACGGGAGAGTTGTTGACAGCTAGTCAGGAATTCTCTGCACCCATGGAGAAAAGGTGTCAAGTGCCTGACATGGTAGTGACCTGCGTCTGACCTTTGTGCATCGCGTTTTACTGAAGACGTTCCAGAAGCGAAGAGTTTCATCCCCAGCTCCCGTCACGATGGCCTCGCCGTCCGGGGAAACGGCCTGGAGAAGATCAGGGAGAGCACCGCAAGATCCCCATGAAGCTTCAGTTGTGGGGAAATTAATGAATTTAACAGCCAATAAGGGAGAAGCAGGCTCCACCCCATGACCTCACCAGGTAAAGCACCCTGTACGAGTGTCCAGTTAGCTTGGCCACCTGCGTCAGGGACGGGTATTTCCACACCAAGATCTGGTTTTGGGAGTATCCATGTGTACTGACCTGAAAACAGATCCACTTCCCACAATAAGTCTGGGTGTGCTCTTTAGTTCTAATAAAACTTAATTACATTCGATTGTCATTTGTCAGGTACACTTATCAAAACAGCAGCTGAAATAAGTTTGTTCTGTGCAATTATTTCAGGTAGTAATTTGAACAATAACGCTTAATTGTTAGTGTAACATTATTATTGCAGATTAACATTTAAAATATTTACAGTACTTTTCTCAAGATGAGAAAACACGGGGTCTTGTAAATTTAAGCTACAAAATGTAATACCGTAATTCCTACTACATGACCTTTTCCCATGCCGGGTGTCTTAGGTCTCCTTACCAGCTCATTGGCGTGCTTGGACCATGCCAGGTTGCAGACCTGCGAGCCGGTATCAGTACTCTGCAGGGCCTGGCCGGTCAGGGTGTTCCAAAACCTAAGGCAGCGGTCAGCCGTGCCGCCCCCAGAGGCCAGGAGGCCGTGCTGGTGTGGTGACCAGGCGATGGCCTTCACTGCAGCCAGGTGGTCACTGTACTGCTGCACAGGAAGCAGGCTGGAGCTGTTCCACACCAACAGCTGGCAGAAGCCAACGTTCGGAGATCAGCAGTTAGCCAAATGGAAACGTCTTAGCATGTCGGCATGAGTTAGCACCATCCTAAGCCCTGTCACATCAGGCAATCTAAAGACAATTATAATCAGACAGAGCTCTGCTCACTCAGGGTAATCCTGTGGATCCCTCCATTAAGATCCAGTTATTATCCTGAAAATTATAGTCCAGGAAATGCAATGGGGACCCATTAGCACCAAGAGCTAGTTCAACGATTACACAATTACATCTAACAGCAAGTATTCAAGCTTTGTGCATGGAAGCTTTACAGGTCTAGCTTAAGTCTTTCACATTCACCCCCCCCACCTTGTTATCGTTTCCCCCCGAGGCAAGGTGCTGGTGGTCAGGGGACCACTTGAGGCCACAAACTTCCTGCCGGTGGCCCTGCAACCGCCTCTCGGCGGATGGGGGAGTGCGCACGTCCCTCTGCAGGATGACGCGGTCCCTACTCCCTGATGACAGCTGATCCCCGTTCCAAGCCAGGGCACCTGAGGGCGGGGCCCAACGTTAGGGTATCCCACCTCCATGCAAAACCACACGCTACACATTAGGCTACAAATGGCATGGTGGGTGTGGTTATAAAGCTCAGCCAATCACAGAGTGGATTATTCCCTGGCTCATTTAAGCCAAACCTTAATTTCTCCCATTGCTTTACACAAGCAAGCCTTTTCCCTAATATTATATGTCCTTGAATTTTACAACCAGGTCTGAAAATGTTACACTGATCAGTTATGGCCATCTTCCCTCCCTGAAACACTGACCGACTCTGGCAGAATGCCCGTCCAGGCTGCTGAGCTTCCTGCCTCCAGCTGCGTCCCAGATCTGAACGTAGCCTTTGTGGGTGCCTACAGCAACCAAACTACCCTGAAAGACAAAATAGTGGGGTGCAAATTGAACGGAAGCCAAGTTTTATCAAAATTCACTTATTCACTGGCCAACAAACTGAACAACTTTCTCTGAGAATGTCTATTTCAGTCTGCATTGAAAATTACAGCTGCCCTCATACGAGTCAAAACGCTTATGGGCTGATGGTCAGCGCTACCTCCGGCGCCATGGGCTCAACACTCACCCTCTCATTCCAACACACCGAAGTCACGGAGTCTCCATCAATGGACAGGTCGCACAGCCTCGTCACCTAGGCAACCACAATGCTGCCAAATGAGTCCGTGCGCTCCCTCCGTCTCTGGGCTCCCACCTAGCCATGCCACCCCACGGCGCCCAACGCCAACACACCTGGCTGGTGCAGGCACTCCACAGGTAGACGCAGGCCCCCAGGCCCACACTCAGCAAGTTGCCCGCAGACCAGTCCACCAGGTTGAGGTAGAAGTCGTCCTGCAGCTCCGGAGCATCCAGGACCTTGAAGGGGATCTTGGAGATCTTGCGGGCCGGCTTCCGCGGAGAGCGCAGGAGTTTGTGACTGTGGACACAGGAGGCTGCGTCATGCAGGCACAGTGCTGTAACCACTGGCAGTCAAACCACATTAAAACATCATTTGCCTGAAAATGAAAAACAAGGCCCTGCATGGAGTTCCTGTCAGTGCTGGGTCCTTAACTAAAGACCTTTAACAGAATGTTAATGCCATGCCAACAACTAGGGCTATATTCATGATGACAGTATTAAAGCAGATTGAATAACTAGAATGTTACAAACAGTTCAAACAATCCAAATAAGATGTTTAAAACTACCTTTTGATTAAAAACAATCATTATAAAAAAAAAAAAAAAGCCTTTGGCTGGACTTTACTAAAAACCTTGTGTAAAAAGTCAGTAAAATGGTTACTTTGCCTAAGGGAGTCACAAAGGCTCTTAACCTCCGAAGCTCCAGGGGTGCTAGATACCAGCCAACCCTGAGCTCTCACCTGTAAGTGTCTGTGTGTCTCATGCAGAGCAAGAAGAGACAAATTGCCCATGGAGTAAATAAAGCGACACTATCACTATCATTAAACAAAGTATTTTCCACAACCTGTTTCAGTGAAGACAGATGTTTGTAAACTATTGAGAAGTACTACAATCTGTAACTTTGCCTGATAAGAGCATGTGACCAGAAAGAGTGCGTGCTGCGTTTGCTTGGACAGAGTACCTCTTGTTGCTCAGTGGCGAAAGGGAGTAGGGAGACACCTCATTGCTGCTGTCGAAAGGCACTCTCTTGGGGTCAACCGTGTACTGAAGAGGCAAGAGGAACCACTTACTACGAAGCATGTCAATTGTTGCAATTTCTTACTCTTCAGTCAGGCCAAGAAGCTTGTTTTCTGGTTGTTTCAACAACCAGAATGTCAATTATATGATCAGTTATATCTCTGAAATATCGCTGTATATCCTAACACAGTGTCTTGAACAAGCAGTCACTGGATTAAGACCATCTGACCTACGGACAACTCACACATAAGGACAGACTGCCATAAACGCTACTATATTAAAAATTCAAGTTAAATGCAATGGTTTTTAATAACGAACACACCCACTACTTTGTGACGCTCGTGAAAACACTGCATGGCCTCAGAGGTTCACTGGCTTGAGGTGCAGTACAGTACACAGTCACTTTTATTATTACTGTATTATTGTTATTATTATGTACTGCATTCCTATATTGTTTCAACTTAAAGACTTAGAGAATGGATCTTGTTCATAACCTGGGGACTCCCTGTACTGGACTAATACACAAGAAGGTCTACGTGGTTCAGTGTGGTCGCCATAGCAACAAATGCTCACCTTGAACAGGCTGTGCGTGTCCTGGGATAAGTGGGCATGTCTGCGGTCATCTGTGTGTGGGTCGGGAACTGTTTCGATGGCTGCTCCGAGCAACTCGTTTCTCAACAAGGCAACATAGGCCACTGTGTCTGAAAGCACAGAGACGAGTCCCTCATGAGCACTGAGGAAATGACTATCAGCCCTACTGATGGTTTTAAAGACCAAGAAATGGTCAATAAGGGATTGGGATAAGGAACTGGTAGCCCTACCTCTGCCCGTATCGGTGTTCGTTTCCTTCGCCCTGTGGTTCTGATTTGGAGACCTGCAGTTCTCCTGCACAAGAGGAGATGAGGAGGACAAGGAAAGCAGATGAAGTTCCAAGTATAAGTTGGAAAATCAGCAGAAGTATCTCTCAGTGTCCCACTGGAGGATTAGCATGTTAGAACAAGAGTATACACAGTGCTGGCACATGCTGAGTAATCTGATACATGAAGAGGAAGTCAGTGTAAGGGGGAGATCCCTTGGACTATGTGCATTTAGCAGACTTACGTTGGCATAGTGGAAATTAATAGTCCAGTTGCTACCAGCTCGCGTGGGGATGAACCGGTCTCCTGACTTGACCCTGACAGGGCTGGAAGTCGCACAGCCTGACTGCTGGAGGGAAAACCAGGAATGCTGTAGGTCAGAGGTGGCCAATCATATCCGCGGGTTTTCACTGCAACTCCCTAATTAGATTACTAAGAGGACTGATTGGCTGAAGAGTCCTCACACCTGGGTTTGAACAGCTGACCTACAGGTTATTCCAAAAACCTGCATACACACCGGCCCTTTGCGGATAAGATTGGCCACCCCTGCTGTAGATGTTTACAGTTAAGATCCCAGGGATACAAGGCATCCAAACACTCAGAGAAAAGTAACAAAGATTTCCAATTAGAATGATGCAACCAATCGCGGGGGTCACAGATATAGGTAAACCCCTATATAGGTAAACCCCACCCTCTTACCTTGGCCAGTTGGCTTTCTGGAAGGTTCTGGTGATTGATTTGCCGAAGGAGGCGTCTCTCGTAGTCCTGGTCCATCTCGAAAGGAATGCCTGGTAGTGTCCTACAGCACAGGCATCTTTATTTCTGCCTATCAGTCTGCAGATCCAATCCCCTCACAGTTATCCATTCCTGGAAAAGTAGTACACAACTCACATATTAATGTCATAAAAATCCCAGTGCTTAGGCCTGGTTTTATGTAGTGTGTCCATGCATCATGGATTATGTTCTGCTTATTGTCGGAGCAATTTAAACTTTGCCATCAGTCATTAACTACAATCATTTTTAGTTTTTGCATTTAAATATCCCACTCAGTAAAGGAATTACATAATGTCTATGAAGGGTAATTTAAAGGGTTGAGATTTTAATTCAAGTCCATGCATGACTGGGGGTGCAAGAGGAATTCATTCACCGGTATGGGAGATTGCCGTATAAAGGATAAATTAATGTAAACAGCAAAGCATACAGACTAATTACAGGTTTCATTTGGTTTTTTTTTCTCCCTGAAACATGACTTCTCACGCAATTCTACAGTTAAACTGATGTATTTTTACCTGATGTATCTTTACCTTATTCTTGTAGTATGCGACTCACGGTACTGCAATTACCATGCCAGAATCACCAACAGCAGAAAGATGGCATGCTTTTCTCTAAAGCGACAAATCGATCTATTTACACAAATGGTTTTATCCCCCTTCATTGAACTAGTTCAGATAACTATATAGCCGCATAGGTAAAGGATCCCGAAGTATTGCCCCCTTTTTGTCGAGTTAAAATTTAAACAACCCACGTTTGCTGAAGACCCTCCGATTAACGCAACCGGGTTGAAGGGGCGAAGCCGCATCATAGTTTAACAAATAAACACCTCCGAGAGTATAAATAATTTGTAAAATTACCAACTAACCAAATCACGGTTTTTACGTGATTGGTGTTTATTTGGAGATCTATGCAGTTTAATAGCTTCCATCTGCTAATGAAGCTCGTTAGTGTCATGGTAGAAATAAACCTGAAGCACCTCGTCCGGCTGCAAAATGACAGCTAACGGATTACACAACATTAGTAAAAAAACATACATACATATATAGGCTATATGATATTATATATTAAAATAAAAGACAGATGTGTGATTTTACTATCAACTCACGCGTTATTGTAGTAATAAAAATGCCCTTCGCATACCAGGTGGGCTAAGCAGACCAAAAAAGCAAATGATACTGGCTTTCATATTTATTTGCACGCCGATAACTATTTTTCTGTCTTAAAAGATTTTTGCACCATATACAGACAACAAACCACAGGACAGTTACTGGATATAGTTATATGCATGTAGCTAGACAGGTCTAGCCAGTTAATAATTACTACAACGGGTTTAATTGACTTTCATCTGCAAAAAATGTCATCACTACGCAGCATTAGCTAAATGTGTGGCAAGCAATATTTTAAATAAACGTACTATCAGTAATTAATAAAATACTCCTAACCGATGCTAAGGAAGCTAACAGACACAGGCTAACAGACGTCGCTCTGACACACGGTTGTCATGGCACCGTGCCACCGCAAAACAACAAGCCAGCGGCGGTGCAGCTAGCTGGGTAGCGTGCTAGCTAGCTAACGGCGACAACACCGCTACCCGACCCCGTGGGCTGGCAAACAAAGCCCAGGTCCGTACTTCGGTCAAGACGTCCATTCGCTCTCCTTTCAATGCCCGCGTTGTTTACTGAGCCGTCGCCTTCCTTCGTCTCCGTTGTTTTTTCCCTTCGTTCGGGTGTCACACACACGACACGACCGACATCGCGACGCCTCCGCTCCGCGTCTATTTATAGGTGAGTTAACATGGCCGCCATGCCAGCCCTGCTACTGCAGCGGCGCCCGGTGGCTCAGCTGCGCCGCCGAGATCCGGCGAGGATCCAGAGCACCGAAGGACGGCGCAGATGTCTTGAACGCTGAGTCCCTCCATTCATAATTCGGAAAGTTTGCACAAGTAATTTCAAAATGGTATGCATCAAACGCATGATTCATGTTATGCACCATATCATCTTTTCGGGAAACACTCATAAATAGAAAATCCGATTTTTGTTCTTTGAAAATGTGTAATTCTGCAAGTTCTTTTTTGGTACACATCTCAGGTTTTTCCTGTTATTTTTTCCCAGTATAACTTTAATGTTGCTTATTTATGGCACATTTATTGTACTCCTTCTTTTATTACAAAATTATTGTACGGTTACTTTTTATGTCTTATCGGTTCAACAGTTTTTTATTATATGCAGTTGACTACTGTTCATTTCACTGTAGGTTATAGTCCGACATTATACTTAGCATATGACAAATAAAATCCTTGTTTGCATGCTTGGAGGTATGACATGTTTAAATGTCCAACTGAACGCGATGGTTAAAACCTATAATAAAAACTAAATGTGTGTCCTTTTCTAGCACCACCAAGAGGACACCCCCCCCCCCCCAGAGCCAAGCCCATTGCAAACTTTCACACACCTCTCATCAAACCAGTTACTGGTCACTTGACCCACTGCTGGGGGCTTAAAAGATTTATACATATACCTTTCAGTAACTGCCCACAGCATCATTCCATAGTATTATTATTATTATTATTATTATTATTATTTAATTTATCCCTAATTCCTTATCCTAGGAAGCAGAAGTCATGCAGCATGGGATGCCCTAGATGAGATGCCAGTTTTTTTACAGGCCACATACTCATACACTATGGGCAATTTAAAGACACCGGTTCACATATCTAAACATTTCCAGGCTGTGACAATGAAGCGGTACACAGGGAGGCTAGACTGCCACCCACTGATCCACTACACCAGTCCACGTTTTAAGTGAAATTTAAATCAAAATTAACCTGCCAACAGTGTTGGTCAAACACAGTGGGTGGCCAATTGGAGTGTAAGTCACAGACTGATTTAAGCCATTTCCTAAGAGTTCCTTTATTGGTTTCCAGCGGAAAAACCAGACAGTAATTAACTATGCATGGTAGTATTTCAGTGCTTTTTAAAGCCTCATTTCTGTTATTAAAATCTCTCAGATTTGATGGTTGACACTTAATTGATTTATTAAGTATATTTGCTAAGCCTTAATTTCCAATATCTATCCAAACTTCCCCTCCATTTCCCAGCTGCTTACTTTGGTTGGGGTACAGGGGTGCCAGAAATCTCTCCAAGGTGGCACAGGGCATGAGGCAGAGATTCACCCTGATCAGGATGTCAGTCTATCAGTTAACCAAATTATCTGTTGTTCAATGTGGCAAAATATGTAAACTCTACAGAAAAAGAGACAGAGAGCAGAGGTAAGATTCAAACCGTACCCTTCTGAGGCAATATTGTTACCCACTGTATCGTCCTCCAAACACCTCTATTGCCAGAGAGGTGGAAAAAAAACTGCGATTAGCGCCCTCTAACGGCGCATTATTATAAGAGACAGTTCTTTGGAATATAACATAATGTTTGGAAGTCACAATAAAAGTCACAATTAATATGGTATTGTGTACACACAGCATTCCGAGAAATACTAGCTGATTCTATGGTCGTAAATGCGTTGCATAATGTGTGATCTCCGGGCTGAAATGATCTATTCATTTTATTTTCCCCCAACCTTCCTCCTGAATAACAAACTCATTCCCGTCAAACGCAAGCTAAAATGGCTTGCCATAATAGCTTGCGTTTGACGGGAATGAGCTTGTTATTTTTGGAGGATATCACAAATTCTAACTAGTTAAAATTCTGATTCTTGATATCAGAAATTCAGTTGTAACTAGTTAAAATGACAGTTCTTGATATCAGAAATTCAATTTTAGCTACTGAGATTCAAAACGTTTTTCTCATATGTTTCAGTTGGAGTTGGAGTTTGAACTAGTGAAAATGCGAATATTTGACCTCACGAATTCCTTTGCAACTATAGTTAACTCGGTTTTAACTAGTTCAAATTTCGAATTCAATTCTAACTACTCAATTGTTGATATCAGAAATAAATTTTTAACTAGCTGAAAATCAGGTTCTGATATTCATTTTTCTGATATTTATTAGATATAAAAATATTCATTTTTATATCTAATTATTTTTCAGATATTAAATGTGTAAACATTCACAAAATTAATAAAGAGCGGTTTCAAATATTTTTTGTCATATTATAAATTCACTTGAAAGAATTTATTTATTATTTTATTTAACCTTTATTTGACCAGGTTTGTCCCATTGAGATCACAGATCTCTTTTTCAAGGGAGACCTGGCCAAGGTAGGAGCAACACAGTGTTAGTGCAGAGTCTTACATAATATTACAGAAACATAATCAGAATATACATTTACATACAGACAACCTAGTCTCCAGAGTCTTTAGAAGAGTTTTAAATTCCTTCAGGGGTATTAAGTTGTGCAGTGTGTTCAACTTGAAGTCTGTTCCATGTGTAAGGTGCTGAAAACCTGAAGGCTTTCTTTCCCAGTTCAGTTCTTACTTTAGGAACAACCAGATTTAGAAAGTCCATCGAGCGAAGATTATGACGTCCTTGCTTCCAGGTCAGGAGTGAGGGTAAGTAGGAAGGAAATTTACCCAGAATGGCTTTATAAATGAACATATGCCGGTGAGTGAGGCGACGAGCTTGTAATGAAGACCAATTTACTTTGGCATAAAGCACACAGTGATGAGTTAGAGAACCGCTGTTTGAAATAAACCTCAGTGCTCCATGATATACACTATCTAACATGCGTAGATAGTGAGCAGATGCATGCATGTACAGTACATCACCATAGTCGATGATAGGTAAAAATGTTGATTCAACTAGTTTTAATTTTACATAGAAAGAAAAGCACGATTTGTGTCTATAATAGAATCCTAAAAGGGATTTCAGCTTTTAATGTTTAATATGTTCCTTACAAGACAGATGGTCGTCAATTAAAAGTCCTAGGCATTTGAAATTTGACACCAATTGTATTTGGTGACCATCTCTTGTTAAAATTTTTCCGGCTAATGTTAATCTATCTATTTTTGAGGTGGTGAAGAACATAAGTTTTGCTTTGTCAGCGTTTAAACTGAGTTTTAAATGACAAAGTTGTTCTTGTATTTTGTCAAAAGCATCTTGAAGATATTCAAAAGCCTTTGCGGGAGTAGGTGCAGAGCAGTAGATTGCGGTATCATCAGCATAAAGGTGAAAAGTTGAGTTTGGAATGTTCCGTCCCAGGTTATTTATATATATGCTGAACAATAATGGGGCAAGAATCGAACCTTGTGGGACCCCCTAGAATGTAGGCTAGTTGGTGCTGATTGGTTGTTGCTTTGGTGCGGAAAATATGATAAAATAGATCACATTAGGGTAGCGATTCATTCAACTGAGCAGCCTCTTTTCATAAGAGTTTGAGCTGTGTCACTAATGGGAAGCCAATTCAACAGTAAGCTGTTCCTGTGTTCAATCTGAACAAAACATTGCGCTGTGTTTGCATTTTATGCATCACAAGGGATGCATATGAAAGGTGCTTGTTTACTTTTCATTAGTCCTGTGATCTTAGGGTTTGCATGACAGTGTAGGGGGCTGTCAAGATGACTGACCGCTTGTCTGGGTCTGTTTTGTTGTTGATGGCAGCTAACGTTAACATCGCTGGGAATCCCGTGACCAAATCACATTGAAGTTTACCAAACCATAGTATGCCAAAACAGTATTATGTGGTGTGCCCTGCTAACAAAAACAAAGTTTATACAGATTACTAAATTTGGGTGTCACAAAACACATCTCATTAATATTTTAGCAGTTTGGCTGATCTGGCAGCATGCAGCTTCTCAGTGACAGTCAAGAGGGCAGTCAGTCTCGGTGGAATGTGCTGCTTTGAAGTCTGATTGGTTAGGATCATGAAGGTTGTTCTGAGAGAGATAGAGAGACAGTTGACTGTAGACTGCGTATTCAAGGATTTTTGAAAGAAATGAGAGAATGATACTATGGCAGGTCACTTAGCATGAGCTTCTTCAGATCAGTAATACTTTAAGACACGACCCTTCCCACCTTTGCAAATTTATACAGATCAAAACTATTGGAGCATGTGAAGAACAGCTGCAACAACAATACATGCTAGTTTTCAAAGACAGGCTGTTATATACTTTAAAGCAGAAAGATGCTCCAAGCTTACCTGGCCCATTTTACTTGATGGCCCAATTTACCTGGCTTCTCTGTGTTTACTCTGCTCTTGTTTGATGGCCTTGCACAGGAAGCCACACTCTGGCTTGATGTGCCGTTCCTGATGCTTCTTGCCCAGTGCAAAATTCTTCAATTGCCAAAGTACAAATTGCAACTGCCTTCTCTATTTGTAACCATTGCTTAAAGCATATGATGCAGTCTGTTTTTCTATTTTACAGACTTTGTAAGGTGCAGCATTATTATTATTATTGTTGTTGTTGTTGTTGATTAACAATTCACAGGTTTAAGAAGTTGCTTGCATGTGTACATAAAAACCCACCAGGTTAAAAGTATCATTAAAGATGTTAAAATATGTCGGCGGTACAGAGTACATTGATAGCTCAATGCATTACACACAATGAATGAATACAAACATTTTATGACTTAAAATAGGAAATATACTGTAGTCTTTAAAAATACGATGA